TCTATGGATTGTTGTGTCCCAACCGTTCAGAACATAAAACACTGGGCTACAATTCAAGTGTTAACAAATGCCAAAGAACATGTAATGTTACATCTCAAATGTAACGAGTCATATTCTTTTATTACACAGTCAATGGTTTAGGAGAAAGCAACCAGAGAAACCCGTTCTCCACCGAGAAAACTCTTCTGAGGGTCCAAAACGTCAAAGAAACTATTCAGGTCTGAATGATAATAAGAAATTTATGAATCGGAACCAGTGATAACGGGGGGGGGGGCAGGGAGTGGTCTTGGGGAAATCTATAGTCTTCTGTGTTCTAACAGCAACCATAACAACTGAGATGTGCCAATCTGGTAGACTGAAGGGAGTGGTTGAGGCCGTAGGAGCAAAGGCAGCCCACGGCCAGCAGCATCCTTTCCGCTGGGAGTTACTGCTCCCTACTCATGACCATGCTAGAGGTCTTTCAAGATCTTGGCCAGAAAATGCTATCCATGTTCTTGGCCTAGAAGGCAAGAGGAAGGATGAACAGCTCTGCCCAGAACCCATAGCACAATCGGCTTATGCTTTGCTACCTCTGTCCTTTTTGTCAAGGAGGGGAAAGCCCCGACAAAGTCAAGGTTTTATTCTTCCGCTTTTGATGTGTGTGGTGTGCATGTGGTATGTGTGTTTGTGTGGTATGTGTGTGGTGTGTGTATGAGATGTGTGTGTGTGTGGTGTGTATTTGGTTTGTGTGGTGTGTGTGTGTTTGTGTTTAGTGAGTTTTTCTGGCATGTGTGTGTGTTTGTGTGTGTGTGTGTGGTATGCACATGGTGTGTGTATGAGATGTGTGTGTGTGTGTATTTGGTTTGTGTGGTGTGTGTGTTTATGTGTGTAGTGTGTTTTTATGGTGTGTGTGTGTGTTTGTGGTGTTTGTGTTTGTGTGGTATGCGCATGGTGTGTGTATGTGATGTGTGTGTGTGTGGTGTGTGTCTGTTGCTAGGGATCAGATCCAGGGCCCCTCCGTGCCTCTTGTGTACTCAGCAAGTGCTCTTAGCAGTGAGACTGTCCCCCAGGCCTCAGCCTGACCAGTATGAGCAGGTTCACTCTGGGACACTGAGTCTCTAAGTGTGCTCTTTGAACTTGTGGAACTCCCTGAGACAGTTTTAGAGGGTCCATGAGATCAAAGCTGCCTTCACAGTAATCAGATGTCATCTTTCCCTTCCACCTTGGGTGTTGACATTTGTGCTGGTGTTGGAAAGCAGTGAACCCCAGCGGTGGCCCATGCCTTTCATCCCAGCACTCAGGAGGCAGAGCCAAGTGGATCTCTGTGAATTCGAGGCCAGCCTGGGCTACAGAGAGTTCCATGATGGCCAGGGCAACAGAAAAACCCTGTCTTGAAAAAACAAAACAAACCAAGCAAACCAACCAAAAAGCAATGATTGGCCAAACTGCTGGTGTCTGAGAATAGATCACTGCAGGGCCCCCAACTGTGAGAATACTAGTGAACACTCATAAATTCTTCACTGTGGACTCTCAGCTTTAAAAAAAAGGGGGGGGGGTAATGTCACTTAACAAAGCAGTGAACATGTCTAGGCCCCTGAATACATGCTCTTCTATTGTCTGGGTGATGAAATGGGAAGCACCATGTAAAGTACCATTGCAGGTAAGAAATAGCCACTATTGTCTCAGGGAAAACACAGGCATGGGCCTGACTTGGTGTTTTGTAAAGTGATTGACAGGTCAACTGTGGGTATTCAGTTGTTTGGTAGACTTTCTTATCCAAACTAAGTGAAAGGGGCCTGTTGCTTTAAAGCCTGCAGTTCTGGCCAAGAGTAAAATCGCAGCTACTAAGCACAAATTTAGCCAATGACTTTTAACACAAAGACTCGCTTTTCTCTGTAGTGTGTGGTGCTCTGTGGCCTGACATTTGGGCCCCTGTCCCATGTGGGGGAGTTGCCTGCCGCTAGACAAGACGTCAATCACATCCTTCCTCTTGGCCGCCAGACCTCAGAATCCTACAAAACACTGTTACAGAGGTTAGAGGACTATAGAGAAATCATCTTACCTCGTATTCTTACACTCCAGAAAGGAAGGAAAAAGAAACCACTAATAATCTTAAGCCTCTTTACACTTTATGTTGATAACATGCTTGAAAGGCAAAAAAATGCAAGCAATTCCCCACTGTAAATGTTGGCCGTCCCCACTCTTGGTGTGAGTTACTGGAGTATAATTGACCAGAAAGTCAATGCTGGGGCTCACTGGCTCTCCCACAAACATGTATAGCTGTCATGGTTTCCCCAGAAAATCTGTGTTTGAAAAAAATAAAATAAAATAATTACAGATTTTCGCTTCAACCAAAAATAAAGCTCAAGAATGGATGAGCTGGAACAGGAACAGGTGAAACATAGCCCAGAAAACAGGTCTGGTGAGTGTTGCGCTTTGCAGCGTCTCATTAAAGAAAATGAGCCGAGATTGATCTAATTAACTCCACAGATTGAGCACATCCTACCCTACCCGCGGAGCAGGTGGCCATGGCCTTCCGTCCCTCGCCTGTCACAGCTGTTTGCTTAAACTGTTCACATGAGTCATTCTGAGAAAGAGCCTTTAAAAAATAAGTAAACAAACGACTTGAAATCTTCCTCATCTACCTGCCCATCACCTAGAAGCACCATTGTAATTATACACGCAGGGAGTCCCCGGGCCTCGGCAGACCTGAAGTGGCCTCCCGGGGACCCACCGGATGGTCGTGTTGTCTTTGTGCTGGGCGGTTCAGCTGTGGGCACCGGGCATGGCGTCCCCTTTCAGTTGGCACCCTGGCTGTTCCCAGCACCGCCACCCTCTAAAGCACGAGGAGGCGGGCTACAGGCCGATTGGTGTTGAGCATTCTGATGCCCCTCTTGAGCAGATAAAACAAAAACTGGAGAGCTGTGAAGTGATGGCCAGAGAAGAACGCATGCATTCCTTGCCACTTACACCAGCAGTAAAGCCCAGTGAGTTTACCGGGTAACAGTGACCATTCCTATGCTTGGTCAGAGCCTGGGCTTCGGTGACAGTCAGGTTGGGTCTAATTTCTTCTTGTCGCTAACCGTGGTCTCAGGCAACCTGCTTCATTTTTGCAAAGCTCCTTACTCCACCCCACCCCCCTAAAAAAAAACCGGGGAGATGGCCGTGATAGCCATCTCACCAGGCTGTCGCTGGGATTAAACATTTGCTGCTCCGTGCTTGGCTCACGGCACCCCAAATGGCAGTAATTGTAGGTCTTACCGTCCACTAATATGGAGTTGCGATTCGCAAATGCTGATTAGGTCTTGCTGGCTTCCCAAGCCTTGATTCCCTGATCTCTAAAATGGGGAGCTGGTAGGCGGGCGCTCAATGTGTTTTTTTCTTTCTGGTAAGACTGAGTCAACCTCCCAGGACCTTGTGTGGCTGCCCAGAGGAGTGTCCTTCTCGCTACTGTGGTCCCCTCCCTGCTCTTCCTCCTCTTGACTGGGCAACTTCCCCCCACCCTTTACTGCTCTGCAGAAGGTCGCTAGATCAAAGCCCTGAGGAGGGTCAGGCCTTCCTGGAGTTCCTGGAGTGACCCCGGTGGGCGGGCAGCTCGATGGGCCCCTCCCTCACCTCGCTCTGGGCGGGCAGCTCCTGCTCTGAGGGAAAGGCACTGGGCTTGAGCAGAGCTGGGGGCGGGGAGGGGGGGACTTGAGCGGGAGGGACCCACTTGGGGTCTCCGTCAAAAGCTCTGCTAGGCTTTTGTTTTCTTTTGCGTGGAAAGAAGACAATCAAGTCTTACTGTAAAGATGATGAAAAGCAGAACATCTTCCAACCTATCAAACCATGCAGCCATCAAAAATAGATGATAAAATACATAGTCAAGGGGAAATATGTATAATGCAATACCAAATTGCAAAATAGTATTGCAGTGTTTTATTTTGGTTTTGCAGTCAGATCTTACTGAGGTTCTTCAGCCCCAATCTCCGAGGTGGCAGAGATTACAAGTGTACACCCCACCCAGCCTCACAGTTTTGACATTTTGATTGCTTGTCTGAAGTTATAATGAAGAAAGATCAGAAAGGTGTTTATCACTATTGAAGCTGTTTTTCCTCAGTGCAGTACGTTTATATATGTGTGTATGTGTGTGTATATGTGTGTGTGTGTATGTGTGTGTGTGTATGTGTGTGTGTATATGTGTGTGTGTGTGAGTGTGTGTATATGTGTGTGTGTGTGTATATGTGTGTGTGTGTATATGTGTGTGTGTATAATTTTTTTAATTTGGATTTTCAATGTGTTTTACACGAGTTAAGAAGAAACAGCTGAATTTTCATTTTTAAAGAAAGAAACCAAAGGCCAGGCGGTGGTAGCGCACGCCTTTAATCCCAGCACTCGGGAGGCAGAGCCAGGCGGATCTCTGTGAGTTCGAGGCCAGCCTGGACTACCAAGTGAGTCCCAGGA